GAGCGGCTCTTTCTGGCTGGCAGCGCACTGCTGCTGCGCCGCCGCTCGGGGAGGTGTCCCCATCAAAACGAATCCTGTGTGGCTGTTGGTAGACAGCGATGCGAAGGCGCTGGCAGGTTAGTTAGGTTGAGTTCTGGTCGCTTTCCTAAAAAGGGCCTAGGAGCATGGAAGGAGAAGAACTGTCTTCAAAAGCTGATTCCAATTCGGCAAAAAATGTCGAGGTCTTTCAGGTGAAAGGAGGCTGATGTTTTAACTCTTCGGCACCTGCTGGCCGAAAGGATGCTGTGTTCCATTAGAGCCGTTCTGGTACGGGGGCTATGTCAGGCGTGAAGGGGACTGTGGTTTAGGAGAGATCAACAACAGGAGATTGTGCTAGATTACCGTTCAAAACTTTTTCCTTTTTTTTGAGGCCCAGAACATGTAGGCCAAAATGATGCCACTTCCCTTATGATGTAGCTGTGCTAAACTTACCTGACCCCTTCTTTTTTTTTTTCCCCTCTGTAAGAAGTGTGGAGACTTAGCTCCAGGAGTGCAAAGCGTATTCTAAAAGGAACCTTGAAGCAATGGATGTAAAAGTCAGGTCCAAAGACCTTGCAAGTTATGTTTTTGAAGCTGGCTGTTTTGTGAGGTTGGTTTGTTTTAGAAAAACTGCCTCCACACAAGATCTTACCACTATATTTCGTTGTAACATACAAAGGAACTTTTTGATTCTGAGACAGCCAAGCTATTTTTGATCTGGTTAGTAAGATCATATGAGTCAAGTTTCATACAGAACAAAAAGATGCTCTTTGCTTTAAGCTGTAATTTGATTATATTAACGGTTGGAGAAAGACTTGCAATTTAATATAGAAGGGAAGAATGTTGGTTGCATGCAAATATTAAAGATACCAACTTCTGCGGGGATTGGGTTTTTTCTTTTCTTTTTCTAATGTAGCAATTTCTGATGGCTAACAAGTTGGATACAGCAATGTGGATTTCCCGCTTGTTCACAGTTTACTGCTCAGCTTTATTTGTCCTGCCTCTTCTAGGGTATGTACTGCAATATTGTAAAATAGCATTAAAAATTTATAAAGTAACTACGCTTCCATTTCATAGAGGTTTTTTTTATGGAAGGGTAAACTTCTGTCATTCGGCTTACTTGGATGTTTTCTGTCAGAACAGTTTGCAGATTTTTAGATTGGTTTACAACACTTTTAGGTGTGTCTGGAAAATGCATTGAGCAACTCTAAAGTAGTGGCAGAGGTATGTTTTTATGTGTAGTTATGGAGTAATTTATTGAATTGTTTTACCTTTGGCACATGCAGTAAGTCAGTGTTACCCGTTTTTGAGTTGTATTTTGGTAATAGTGCTTATGTACGATAATAGAAATACTTTGGGTATTGTGCAACTGTGATGCAATTCTCAAGAGTGGAAGACTTCTGAGCAGGGGCTTGGTTCATATGGTAACATCTCCTCTGATGATTTGCAGGTTGCATGAAGCAGCAAGCTTTTATCAGCGTGCCTTGCTGGCAAATGCTCTTACTAGTGCCCTCCGACTACACCAAAGGCTACCGCACTTTCAGCTTAGCAGGGCGTTTCTGGCCCAGGCATTGCTGGAGGACAGCTGCCACTACCTGTTGTACTCCCTTATCTTTGTGAATTCCTACCCTGTTACAAGTATCCTTTACTTGTGTTGTCCTGGTAATGTTTTTAAACATCTTAAAAACTCGATTCTTCTAATCACCTGTGCTGTGATTTGAAAAACTAGTTTAAACTAGAATATATTTGCTATTCATAGAACATACTCTACGTAAAATAGGAGAGGCTTATGTTGACTGATCCATATTCGGGTTAATCACCTCTGTAACTAGTGCGTTGCAGCCTCTGGCTGCTTACATTTTCTTTTCCTGAGACTTAAGTTCAGTGGATTTTATGACCAGCCTCATGTGATACTTTGAGAAGTTGGTAACTTTTATTTATTACCAGTATAGGGTTTATATGTGACTCCTCATCTTAAGTAGGACATATATCATGTAGAGAGACAGTAGTAGATTCATAGTAGCTTTCTCAGATAAGTTATTAAACAGATAAAGTCTGCAAAAAAGACTTACTCCTGTGCATTGTCAAAGGTGACATGTAAGAACTGACTCTTCTTTGTGCCACTTTATATGTACGCCTAATGTCCTACTCTTAAAATGTCTCTGGCAGAGGAATGTCTATGTTCTTGCTCTCTAAAATCTGAATGGCTGGCAACTGCATGTTCTTTGGCGAAGAAATGCTTTTGTAGCATCTTTTAATAACAAATATTATGACTGTATACTTTTGCATACCTGCATACACACACATTTTTGAAGTTAATAAAAATGCATAGCAAAGAGCTATAAATATAGTTTAGACAGATACGTGTCTTGATCCAGTATAGGTCATTCCAGCCAAACTCATGCAGAGAGCCATCAGGCTATGACTTCTGTGTTAGCATAACATCATGGAGAAATGGAACACTTCTGCAGCCTATAATTTTCCTTATCGCTTGCTTCAGTGAGTATTTTTCCAGTTCTGCTGTTCTCTTTGCTTCATGCTGCCACATACACAAAGAAGGTTCTTGATGTAAGTATGATGTGATGTCTGAATACTGTTGGTATTCTTGGGGTTTATAAACAGGTTTGAGTTGCAGCTATGGTTTCCTTTAGCTACATTAGAGGAGTTAGAGTAAAATTGTAGTGTGGAATCTCAGCACAGAGAGAGTCTCAGAGAATCTAATCTTCTGTTATGACTCGATATGTTGAAGTTGACACTAATTACTTTTCTTCAAATGCTGTTCTTTGACAGAAGCAAATGCTGTGTAACGGTTAAGTTGAAACTTAAGACATGTCTTCTCAAGCTAAACCATAGTCTGTGAAATTTTATGTTCTATTTTGGTAGTAAAATAACAAACTGCAGGGTGAGGCTGGGAAGCAAAATCCTTGTGAGTTGGACCTGCTGCTCAATGAACTGCCTTGTGCAGCTTAATGTAACTCCAATCTTTGATGTCCCTGACTAGGCTGTCTTGCTACCAGAAGTACTTCCTCCTAGTGGACAGAATAAGGCTCGTGGCCATCTGTGAAGCTGAACCTAAAATGGGTGGGTGGGGGAATTGCAACACATCATGTTTTTAATTGAACTCTATGTAACTGTGGAGTTCCAAGCTTCTGGTAGTTTTCTTTGGAATACTAATCTCAAAACCTTTAAAGGATCTAGTCTTAAAATGCTGAAATGAGTTGTAAGTTGTAATTGTTAGTATTTTGATTTCTTTGTGCTGGAGAAGATAGGTGTAACTTGTACGTTTTCTGGCAATCTTTTTTTCTTCTTTAAAGGCACGAAGTTCAAATAGCCTGCCCTTTCTGAGAAACCTTTTAGAGAAACTGAACGCTAATCAACAAAATATTCTAAAATTCATTGCTTGTAATGAAATTTTCCTGATGCCAGCTACAGTTTTTATGCTCTTCAGGTAAGAATTACCATAAATATTTTTCAGAACTAGAAACTTTTTACACAAGATTACTTTTTGCAGTTGAGTTCTCTGTGGGTCACATATCTCCATTTGTACGACTCTGGGTGACCAAGGCTTGAACTTACAGTTAAATTTCTTTGATTCCTAGACTTCTCAAGTTGGTGCATCACGAAATCAAAAAGCATTCACTTTGATACAACTGAGCACCAAAAAAATCTTCCCTTTCATGGCATGGGTGACATTGTTGGGTCAAATCAAAGCTTTTTCAGGCCTGGAACTTGCATTCTCCTACATTGTTTATTTTTGGTCAGTATAATATAATGTTAAGATCTTCAGCTTCACTGAAAGTGAAGTCTTACTTCTGACAATTGAATTCCAGAAATTTAAGTGGCATGAAATTTCATTGTGCTAAAAGTGTGCAAGCAGGAGTAGGTTATGTCCTCTCTCATGTTACTTCTGGGCAGTGACCCTTGTATTTTTTTCATGATTCCATTTGGTTTTGCCTGCTGTACAGCATGTTAAATTCATTTTCGAGATATTGAGCATATGCACGTTGGAATCCTACCGAAGTCATATAGGCATAATGACCTGACAGTCACTGAAGTTTGGGTCATTGCCTTTTAATATTTGGAGGGGGGATAACACCTTTTGTTCTATACAAGTCATGGCACAGAGAGACCATTGTCCTGAGTGGTGTCTCAGGCAGTAGAAGAGAGGCTTTATCTTCTTGGAAGTTGATAGAATGCATAATTTGTCTATATCTTTTGGTATGTTAGTGAACACTTCAGTGCTTCAGCCCTGAAGGATTCAGTTTCATTTAAGGCTGCCTACCAACTGGCAGATACACTTTGTATCCAGTATCTGAAGCATTCAAGTGCTTTAAACTTCTCTTTAGAAGAACCTTGGTGTGTGTGGCTTTCCTCCCCCCCCCCCCCTTTTTTTGCCTCCCCCCCCCCCCCCGCCCCCCTCTTTCTCTCTCTGGAGAATTTAGTATGTGAAGTGTTGCTATTTGGTAAGTAATTTAGCAGATACTGAAGCTTGTAAAAGATCATATACCAGATTTTAAAATAGTATAATGGTTAAATGCAGCTGTTATGAGAATTTGTTCTTTAAACTGTTTTAGCATATTAAGTTGCTTCTAAATACTGTACAGGTGCAAGATTTCCTCTTTTCCCCCCCTCCTGTAGCTCATTTCCCTTTTTGCTTCATATTTTTTCTTCTGGGTCAAGATATTTCTCATACTTGAAGGAGCTCTAGTTCCTGGAACTGTCATGTTCATCTTCAAACAGATCTATTTAATACTACATAAAGAAGCTTCAGACATTAAAATTAAACTCATGGTATTTCTGTGCTTGTTTGTATGCTACCCTTTCACTATTTTACAGCACTGTCATGTGAAACAGCAGCTTTGTAAAGTATCAAACCCTAATTTCAGTGTAACTGAAGTAGTTGGCTCCTGGCTTGGCATTAATATCTCAATACATCTATAATAGTTTCCAGTGTGTTCTGAAAAGTTTTGCAAAAGAAACTAGAAATATGGTTCAGATACTCGAAGTGCTGTGATTAGAGCTGAAAAAGCTGGCTGTAACTGGACTGTTTGTCAGCCAATTTCTGTGCTTGGCCAGCAAGCTGCTGCTTAATATGAACAGGCATATACCATCACTTCTGTGATTCTTTGCCCATCACCAGAAATGAAGCATATAAAAAAAAAAAAACTTCATAAATATAAAATCAGTGCACAAGCAGTACTTCAGTTGCTTCATTGAGCAGTTTTGTTCTATAATGTAAGTTTCTGCTTTTGTAAGTGTATGGTTATGTACTTTTCTTGTCACATCTAGATTATCTGAACCAATGTGACCCCAATCTAGCTTTTTTGAGCCTAAGTAGTTTACTTGCTTTTATTGAGAAAAGTCCTGTTGTTTTGGTTTTTTGGTCAATATTAAGCTCTACTTCTCTGTTCCCTTTCAGTGGGCAAGGGAGTCTGCTCCAGCCATTCATTTACTATAGGTTTCTTACATTACGCTACTCCTCTCGGCGAAATCCATACTGTCGGTAAGTAGTAAATTGATTTCAGAAGTTAATGTTTAATTGCATAATGTTTAGGCATTCAGAAATTTTTCATTCTAAAATCAATGCGTAACTTGTAATACTAAATCCGCAAATGGTAATTATATAATGTAGAATACACCTGGATGCTGAAAAAAAGAACATCTGGTTCAAGATCACATTTATTTCATGTAACTGAACTTTTGTGAAATGTACCACCATCCTTGAGTGGGAGCTTTCAGAACATGCTTGTGTAATTAATACTATGCTTTGGGAGAAGAAAATCTTTTAATTATTCTGCAACCATTTACCAGGAAGATTACCCTTATTTTTAGATTCCAGGTCTATCTGAGGCTAAGTCTATCCATGAACAGGCACTTACAAACTTGTGTAATGTTGACAGAAAAAAACCTGTAGGTGATTTGGAACATGTTCATTATCTCGTTTAGTTAAATTCATAATTATAATTGAAATAGAGCCTTACTGATTTGGTTTGAAAGTTGGTCAAGCCAATACTATTGCTTTGAACTCTGAAACCATAACTATTTCTATGAGGATTTGCTTGGGTCAGTGCTTTCTCGGAACTTTTCTTATTACAAGTGTTGCACAGTGTAGGATTTTGTCAATATACTTTCCAATCTAATTGCTACCTGATTAGAAAATGGTTTGCTGAAGTACTAAGGAAGTGGCTTTGGCTGCCATGGTATGCAAAGACAGGTCTGAGAATCATAAACTTAATTGTCTCCTGTTCCCTACTTTTTTGCAAGAAATCAATTTTTCCATCTTAATACATATTTAAAAAAAAAATTCGTGAAGGTGTTTTACTACTTTGTTATCTAAGAATAAAGTTGTGCAATACTAAAACTAACTTTCAATAGAACTAGTTTAACCACGATTTTCTGCTGGTATTTGCATAGTTTTAAGGGAAACTGGTGTTGTGGGTTTTATTCCCATGTCTGTCTTCTAATAGTTGCTTCCAGAGCGTGGGGTTCTTGCATTCTGGCAAGAAGCAGTGCAAACACACAATTACGTCCCAACTCCTTACACTGTTTCTGATAAAGCATTACTCTTTTTTTTTTTTTTTTTTAGTAGTGTGTGTGGTTTTTTTTTTTGTTTTTTTTGTTTGTTTTTTCTTGAAGGTGGAATTTTATATCTGTCCTTGCTGGAAGTTGCTTAAATAGTTAATTAAAATGCTAATGTTTAAAGGACAAGAATTCTGATGCTCCTGCAAGATACTGCAACACTGATTTGATCTAAAGAACTTGCTAACTAGAGTGTCTATGTTCATGTGTGTGTGGGGGGGGGTGTTGAGAAAAGAAGTGAGTGAAAAAGATAGATTTAAGTGATGTTTACTTCTGATATATGCTGTAGGATTTTAATACTCTCTTTTAATCTGATTTTTTCAGGACACTCTTCACTGAGCTGAGGATTGTTGTTGAACACTTAATAATGAAGCCTTCATGCCCTGTTTTTGTAAGAAGACTATGCCTCAGCAGCATTTCCTTTATAAGCAGATTGGCACCAACTGTTGCATAGCCAAATTTCAGGCACTTGTGTTTTCTGAACATTACGTGCAGCTGGCACTTCTGCTGCTGGTTATAAATTCCTGGTTTTACACTGATCTCACTCCAGGCTGTATAAAAATGTGTATATGCTTTTCTTGGAGAGAATATGAAATTTAGCATATCAAAAGCAAGTCATGGAAACTTAAAATTACTGTGCTGTATTGCTAATCGGTGGAAAAAAAAGTAGCTGCATCCTATCCAAAACTTGCCCAGTCATACAGTTGGTTTTTTTAGGAATCAAGGATTGTTTGAGGTTAATTAAAACTATAATAAGCCTGTGCTCAGTAGATTTATGTTAGTTGGAACTATAGGTACTGTAGTATGTCTCTGGTGGATAGCAATTGGTACATTTACCTATGCAGTACACTTTGGACAGTATTCTTCTGCTTACTAAATGTATCTGTAGAGCCGTTTTGTCTGAATTACTGTACTTGATGTAAAAATACAGCCCACTGAATTTAACAAAAGGGATTAAGATCTATCAAGCTGGCATAGTTAACACCTTTTCTGAAGGAGAGGCTATTTTTATTAATATTACTGAGTTTCTATCTTGTGACATAGTCTTACATTATGTTGTAGGAAGAAATGTCAAAACTCTGATCACAGAAAACTCTGTGCAGTTATCTTGTCATAAGAAGATGTTTTACCAAGCCAAATTGCTGATCTGTAGGCTTTTCAGACAAAGATGCAATGCTTAAACTTTTAACCATCTCTTAAGTGAACTAATCAATGTAAATGAAGTAACTTTCGCAAAATCATTGCAGATTTGTTCTTGTGTCTACACAAATGTGAGACTGCAGTAATTCAAGCATGTCAGCTTTTTAGAAAATTAATCTGTAGCTAGCGCTATATAAATTGTTCTTCCAGTTCCTGAGGCTCTCATTGTGATGGGAAACTTGCATAAAGGATTGCACCTGTTTAGGCAGCTTCTGAAACAAATGGGTGTAGGATTTTTTTGGCATAAATCCATCTGATGACTGATCTGAAGCGAGTGTCATGACTACAGAAGTGAATATTAAATTGAGTGCTGATTATGCATTCACCCAGCAGCTGAACAGTAGGTTGTGCAAAAAGAATATGATCTGTCTGAATTTGTGGGAAGAAGTGATTTCAAGGCAAAAGACTTTCCTAATCTTCTGTAGTTAATGTTAATATTCTAATTGCATAAAAATTAAAGGGGTTTCATTGGCCTTTTGTAAACTTCTATAGTGCTGTACTTAACTGTTCTTCCTTGGTCAGAGAAACACTTTTGCAAACAGTCTTGAAGCAAAGTATTTTCCTGAAACTTTTGAGTTACCTTGTTTGTGATGTGGATATCATTCAGACTTTCCAGTTGTATTGGTTTGTTAGATCAGAGCCATGTATTTATATACTTACTAATTTTTTTTGCTCAACCTCTTGGTACTGACGAACCAACTGGTAATTGAATATGATATTCTTTGACTACTTGTCTTGTTCTCTGAACGTGATTAGCTATTTATAGAACACTTGCACACTGCAGAAGCAACTGCATGCAGTAATGCTCTACAGCTGCTAAAGACTTGCAATGAGTTTCACTCTATGTATATCCTGTAATCAGAGGATTTTATAAAAACTAAAATTTCTACTGCAATAAAAGGAGTGTTAAATGTAATTTGCTAGGCTCTCCAAGCTTATTTGCTCTCTAACAGAACATACTGATGCTTGAACCTGGAAGTTGAGCGGAATGCTTTCCCGTGTGTATGTGTGCATGTTCTTCTATTCCCACTGCTGCTTCAGAATCAGGATGTAATGTCTTGTGCACTTCTAAATTACTTTATAGGGAATTTTTGCCTTCTAAAGTGCAAAAATTGATGACCCTTTCCTTCAAAATTTAATCCAAGAGTAAGCACTGCAACAATGATACCTCATCAGAGTTGAAATAGAGACCTGCTTCTCACAATTTCGTTTCCTTAGCGTTGTTCCAGACCTTGGTACATGGTATATTTTTTGAGTGGTGACATCAGACTCTGTTCAGGTCTTTGCACCACTGATTTGAAACACAATTTGGTCATGTAAGTCAGTCCCCCACACTGGGAGTGGAAGGCAAATAAATACTTCTGTAATTAGTGTAAGCAAAATAACATACTATGACTGAGCAAATTTTTGTGGTCGAAGACTGCTGTTACGGGTGTAGTCTACTGTTCCTTTAATTGTATGCTGTCATTAAATCAGAGAAGAGTCTAAATTGGATCTGATGTATTGCAACTGTAACTGAAGGATGCTAAGTCTTGAGATCCAACTCTATGAATGGACAAGGAAGATTAAAAGGAGTAAGTGAATGAGATTTCAGTAAGTAGAGAGTTGGAAGACGGTGCCAAGGTGGTGCAGAGCTTCTATATGGATACCGAATTTCTTGTTAACTCTTTCTATTAAGTCTTAAAAATGGATCAAGGGGAGGAAGATCTTTCATAAATGGGATTTGATTTGGCTAGTAGAATATTCTTGGCTTTGCAAGGAGTTGCTTGACAAATGAGGTGTGTGTTTTACTTGTGGCCTGGTAAAACTTCCCTGATGTGCCAAGAAAACATGGAGCAAGGGGGTAAGAATAACTTCGAAGCAAAACAAATAGGGCAACTGACCTGCACTCTGCATCAACTTTGATTTTTACTGCACCCTTTAGGCTGCCTAAGCGATAACACTGAGTACTGAATGCTGGCAAAAACATTCTGTCCTTGCGCCCGCTTCCTTACCACAGTTTGTGACTGTTTCTATACTAACAATTAAATTAAACGCATGAAATGCTGGTTGTGTCCTGATAGCTTCAGACTTATTCTGGTGAAAAGAACTGTATGTTCATGCTGCTGTGCTGTCAACAGCTAGCTGCGATGCAGAAACTGTAACAACTCGGTGGTAGCGGAGACATTTTTAACTGTATGACTGACCATAAAATGCCTGCCAGCCCCAACTGTGAAGCAGAGGAGGTTTTGTCCTACTTGAAAAGTTGTCTATCTAATGTGGTAATTGTTTCCACTGGTATAAACCACACGGGTCATTGTTTTTATTGTCTTGACTTTCGTAAGTTAAAGTGCTGCTGCATAAGTTCTGTGGGTAGACCGACCCCTTGCTGTGCGCCAGCTTGCTGTAGAAGTGATGCTCCAGTGTAAGACTTGTCTGCTCGCGCCCGTAGATAAATAAAGCATCGGGACCCATTAGGTCTGTTGGGGTAGCTAATGCCAGTTGGGATTTCTCACAAAGTCAGTCACTAATGCATCCATCCTTTCCTTTATTGTCTTTTACTTATTTTTATACTTTTATTGTCATTTTTGTGCTGTCAGTTTTATGTTTTGCTCCCTTCTTTGATGGATGCTCAAGGGGAGCAATATCTGTTAATATTTTAAGTTGCATGTTTTAAGGATTTTTTAATATTATAATCATAAGCCACTACTTGTTGCAACAGTTTTTGAGCTGCTAACAGCACATGTGATAGTACTGTCCAAACAAATAATGTAGGTGGTTATTGTGTACAGTCTGTGTTGGAGTTTTTATCACTAGGTGCCTGTATTGCAACATTTGCTGTACAGACAACTCCTTGTTAATTAAGGAAGCACAGTTCTTGCCCATTTTACAGACAGGAGCTGAGGCATGGAAGGAAAGAACTCGCCTGAGGCAATGTAAGAGCTCTGGCAGAGCAGGAAATAGGGGAAAAAAAGTTGGACAAGAATCCAGGGGGAACTGTGATTCCTTTTGGCACCACATACGACTTCTTGGTCTTGTTTGCAAAATGATACTAACTGCTGCTTAAACAGTTTCAAAATTACTGTACCTTGTGGTGCTCAGATTAAGGGTAGGAAAGACCATTGCACTAGAACAGCATGTTCTTTTAAAGCGATGCGAAAAGCTGATTCCCACGTGCAAGAGCTAGGCATGGCCCCTGGTATCTGCAACTTTTTGGTGGGGGGAAAAATAATGCAACAGAGTAAGATCGTGAGCAATTACACGCTAGATGTTAGTTAGGGCATGCTGATCTGTTGTAATTGTCTATACTTTTTAATTACTGCAGTGCAAGTTTTTGTGGTTAAACTACACTGAAATTGGTTAGTGTGTGTTTGTATTGTAACTTTTCATGTGCTGTAAGTTTCTTAAAATGAGAGAAGAGTCGGGCCTTGCTGTTCTAAATCGCCTTTTAAGGTTAAAACCTTAAGTAATCCTTTATTTCAAAGATGCATTATCAGTATGGCTAATGTAATTGAATTTAATCTTAAGTGTGGATTCAAAAATATCTTTTTCATAAAATGTCAGCATTACTTACTAACCCTTCTGCAGACGCTAGCTCTGTGATAATAGCTGATACTGTGCAGGTACGGGAGTTTCATTGCTTGGTTGATGTGCCATCCAGATGGTACAAACTTCTAAAATGAATTGAAAAATTCATCTTTTACTTGTATTCAAGGACTGAGGCACAAAATGCTAATGTAAGGGCTCAGAGGGGAAATATAGTTCTCCTGCATATTTGAGAAAATGTGAAGCCCTTTCAAGAAAATCTAATAAACGAAATAATCACAGGCTGCTGACACTAAGGAAAAAGCACCTCATTCGCTCTTTCTTTTATGCAGTGATTTACTGGTCCCTACTGATTTTCAAATTGGATCACTGCAGTAAATTATCCATGCCAGTACCTGTGAAAGAAAGCACTGGGATCCATATTTGTTTAGTGCTGTGCTTAAATCAGCAAGAATGATAAATTTGATGGTATGAAATTGGAAATATCAAGGGCTTTTCTCAGTGAACGAGCAAGTATCTCCATTTGTAATTTATTGTGACCCTTTTTCACTGTATGTGCTTTGTATGTCAAATATTTATTTCAAAACAAATTAAATTGTTTTCTGTTTTGATACAGCTATGGTTTTGTTGATGTTCTTGAAATCAAATTGTATAGTTTTTTTTTCCTGGATATAAAATATTACCAATGTTGTGTTGCAAAACAGCACTTGTTGTTTAAGTTCAAATCTCCAAGTTTGAGTTACTGACCAACAGTTTTCCATGTGAAGTGTTCTAGGTGTGCCTTGGGTGTTGGGGTTTTTTTGTTTTGTTTTTGGTTTTGTTTTGTTTTGGTTTTTTTATGTGTGTTTAGTGCAGGATGCAGTGAGCTACTGCAGCTTCTCATTTGTTTTTTTTTTCTAGAGAAAGAGGAAGATTAAGCTGTATACCACAACCAAAAAAAGCTGATCCCTGTCTTCAAGTCATTGGAGCTATTCTGCTTTACACTTGGCGTAGGTAGTACCAAGTCCTGTGGGGAAAAAAAAATACCTATGTGCTCAGTTTACTGCCATATTTTCAGTGCAGGTGTTAATAGAGGAAGTTGAAAGTACACCTGTGTTCTGGTAGGAGTCCTGTCCCTTTTATCTTAAAATAGGTTACTTTGTGACTGATTACATCCCACTACCTAAGTAAGTGCCGCAGCTGAACTGAAAATGAGTCATGGCTAGCGCTGATTACTTGGAATTTATATTGTTACAATAATAATTTGTCTTGCAACTAGTAAGCAAAATTGTAAACCAGTATTGTTAATGTGACCCTATGTTACTCTCTTCTTGTGGGCAAGGCTTGGCTGCCCTGTCCTGGCATGTTAAATAGCTGGCTTCTGTTCCACCCCAGTGCCAACTAGTCGGGCTTTCTTCTACCACAGCTGGTTACTGCCACACAGCTATGGTTTTGTAGAAGCAGTAGTGTGGATTATATTCTGAGGAGCCAGGAAAGACTTTGCTCTTAAAAGAAAGCAATGGTTCGTTGGAGTTCATCTCCCTTTATCCTGCATTCCACGTGCCTGACGGCAGTATCTTGCTTGTGAGGCGAGTGAAGTGTTGCTGCAGTCCAGGCTCCTGCCTGGGGTGAGGAAACTGGTTTCCCTGAGAACAAATGCAGATCATGGTTGACTTAACTTGCTTTGTATGTTCCTATCAATGTTCACTCACGCACCTTTGCCAACGTGAAGAGCAAGAGTACGTTGGATTAAGATGGTGCATCTGTTGGTTGAGATATGTCATAGGAAAATTAAGCTGAAAATCAGAAATTATAAAGGTGCAGGGCTAGATTATCTGCAAGGGTTAAAGCAATATCAACTATGCTTTTCACAAAGGTAGAAATGGAATAGAAGGAGAAGGAAGAAAAATGGGGAGAAAAATAATGAGACCACAGAAGAGTTCAACTCTATGTGATAAAAAGAGGTATGGAAATCCTACTGGGTACTCTCTTGCTTTCATAAACCCCAATTCACGGTTTTATGCCATCAGTATCCTCTGGATAGTACTTCAATTTTCTAGCTGTAAATTATTTCTAATTTAGTCTTAAAATAGTATAGGAATAGCATGTTCAGGTGTGGCCACATTGTATAAGAGCTGACAGGCTGATCTTGGTTTACTTAAAATGGAAAACATCTGCAGTAGAATTATGTGGTTTTGATCATTATGGTTGAAGCTCCTGTAGTGGAAAAGTAGAGAAATAAACATTTGCTATGGCCTATATTGCCGCTTGGCTGCTTTGTCTTTTTTTAAACTTTTCTCTTTCCATGCTGCTTTGCTACATTTTTACATTGGCAATCTAGGGGAAGATACCATACATGACCTGCATGGGGTTTTGTCCTGATGTATGTTTGCTTCTGTGTGCAAAGACGCATATAGAACATAGTATTTGTAACTTAGCATTTTAACTTTTTTGGATTTAACTTTTTCAGTCTAGGAAGTCTGACCAGTGTTTTGAGATGACAGATGCTTGCCTATTATAATCCCTCTCAATGTGCTTTCTGCTATAGCAACTTTAGTTAGGTTACCTTAGTTAACTAAAGCGCAGCAAAAATAATTGTGAATCCTTTCAGTAATAAAGTTTAAATCAGAGCCATTACTAGCAAGCTTTTTGTAATGGCAGGTGGAAATCTGAAGTTGAGTTTCTGAATTCTCATGGGTCCGCTGGCACTTTACCAGTTGTATAACTGTGTAATACAGAGATATATTGAAACCTTAGAAACTACAGTTAGAGCATCAAGCAGCAGTTCAGCGTATATATATGGAGCATCCAGTAGTTCTATTAATTCTTAATTCAAATTTTTTAACATCATTCAGGGGCAGAGGTAAGCCAGATGTTTGGTTGCATTGATGTATATGTGCTGTGGATGGATGGTGTGTATGTATACTTACAGCAGCAGATAGATGACTAAATAAAACATGTACTATTTTGAGGGGGTTTTTGCCATTTGGATATGTTAATATTTTTTTGCTCTTTATGATTAAAAAGCTTCTTCCTGCCCTCTGACAGCCTTCTTTCTTCGCACTGTGTTACACATTTGTAAGGGAAATAGCTTTTAAAAAAATGATTCTTGCACTGCATAGGTGCTTCTTCCCTTTATACACTTATACACTTCAAAAGCATTACTCAAGCATATTTCACATTCTTGTAATCGATTTTTTTTTTTTCTTTCTTGCAAGCAAAAGAATTAAGTTGCTTTTAAGCTGGTCCTTGATTTGTTCATGTAAGAGATCGTAGGACAGGTGGAGCAGCAGGAGACTAGGCCTGATGAAGCTTCCCCCAGGCCTGTGTTTCTGTGCATGTCTGCATACTGCTGGAGAGATAAGAGTAGTTATTTCAATATATTACGTATTATGTACCTAATATTGTTTTCAAGAATTTTAAACTAGCTTTCTGCTTTAGGATGAAGATAAGTGCTGCTAGCCTTCAGAGTTCTTTTTTTCTTACTCAAAGGCTGGAAATTTTATTTGGCGATATGATTTGGTCGGCTGAAATGAAATGGAATTCTTCTTCCATGGGCTAATTTTATTCCAAACCACTGACCTCTGGTGGCTGGTTTGCAACTATGAAGCAAACATTTTAGCAATTTGTTGTGCAAATTGGTGACAGGAGAGTCTTTTTCCCTTTAAATTTCTCAGGAGAATAATGTCCCTTCCCGCTTTATTGTACTTTGGCTTTGCAAGTATCTATCTGCCTTATGCATTAGAAAGGAGATCAAAAGAAAACCAGATTTATGGCTAAGGTTTCTTTAAAGAAGTAACTGCTCACAAGCCCAAAGATTGTTTTTTTGTGATTTTTGGGAAGCTAAAAGAGACCCTATGATCTGTGAGAGCATCCCATAATAAAGATCTTAAAACATATACTGTCAAATCCTTGCAGTCATCAAGCACAGTAATTATATTACCAGAATCCTGATGCCTTTTTGCTTAGGAGGTTGCTGCTTTACAATTGAAGTCTTTCCTATGTGTGTTGATACAGGAACAGTAATATTTTAATTTTTATTTTTATATATATAAATATATATATAAAAAAATTTAATTTCCTGCTTAACCATGAAGTATACATTTCTGCATATATGTTATGTGAATCTTTCCCTTTTCCCTAATTTCATTGTAGCTGCATGTGTCCCAGTATAACTCCCATTGATTTTTGTTGAGATAGGCAAGTGACACTCTATTCCCTGGTGTCAAAGCAAATTCTTCAAAAAGTGTAAAGCCTTCCTCTATGACAACAGAGGGTTGGGTAGCTAAAAGGAGGCATGCAGGGCACTGGCATGTTAAATCAGAGCCATATTGGGTTCTTTAAGTGAATCGTCTGATTGTTCTCATTTACCATGAAACCAAACTGGAACCTCTGCTCTAGGCTTGCTCCTAATGAGCTCTGTCAGGGATACAGGGCTTGACTGCTGTGAGGGCTGCACTGCTGCCAAATTCTCCTGTGTGTACCAAGTGCACAGGGCAACGGAGGGCTTCCAAGCCATGGGGACAACACACGGTGTCCTGAGGTCTTCTACTAAATAAAGGGCCAGATGATATCCGTGTCTCCATGTCTGCTATCAATCTAGCCCTCAAAGTGTACCCCGTTGTTGTCCTATCCTGATATTCCTTCCCTTCTCTACCTGTCCTATCTCCCGTTGTGCGCTCTTTGTGAACCCTTTTCTCTCTTCTGGAATTCCCTCCCTCTGCTTTCTTGAACTCCCACTTCAATCGATTCTGCAGTACCGACGCCAGCTTAGCCTCCCAGCAGGTCTGGCATGTGTCGCCTGGGCTCCCGAGGGAAGGATGTGGTTGCCAGCCTGTGCTGCGAGAGGACTGCCAGCTGCTCCAGCAGCAGCAGGAGGTCACTGGCCGCCTGGTGGCTTGCTGGCATCAAAAGGGCCAGCTGAGCACTGCTGCATGCTGTTGAAGAAACTGAGGATGACTCTTGGTGGTGTTCAGGTGCATGTGAATAATAGAAAACACTTACCCACATGCTGGGAGTGAAAGATGTTTACTTCTAGTTTATGTCGATCTTTGACCCCGTGACCACAGAATAACTTACAGACTGACGTGACTTGGACTGGACTTCAGTAACTGGATTCACCACTTTGTGCTTCAGAAGAGTCATTCCCCTCATGCACCTGCACACCATGACCACAAAATACTTTCTCTTATTCTGTTTATTTAAATATTTTACCTGAAAAACTTAAAGGCTGATTGGGATTGCTGGACACTTTATGCATTCATACTTTTTTTTTTTGAATTATCGGTATGTATTTGTTTGTTGTTAACAAGATACGTGTAGTATCATAAAAGGTACAAAATCAAACCAGTCTTACCCCTTTATCACCTTGCTATGCTGTACGAGAGACACACAAGGCAGGATGTTATGGGAATCCCAAAGAGTAATTTAAACTATATTAAGTCATTACTTCAGCTTTTGCTGATGATCTGGGGACATTGCAAGTCTGCTCCACTGTACGAACTTGAAATCTTTAATTTCAGATTAAAAAATATTCAAATTGGTTCTATATTACAATATTTTTCATAGAAGGAACATTAAAATCCTTCATTGAATATTAGCCTTTACATACCACAGATTTCTTGCTAGATAGTAACATCAGAGAATTTCATCATGATGTACTGTTTTAGTGTGAATAACCCAGTCAGTTATTTCTTTTAAATAAACAGGAATGAGGAAAAAAGTTTCCAAAGGTCTATTTTTCAATCCAGTTGCCTGTCTTTACTTAGGACTGCTTACAGATCAAGAAACTTTTCAAGTGTCTCTACACAAAGCAGGTTCTAAATCCTAAAAAGTTGTACACGCACAGACCCTCTTCTTCCTGAAGACCCTTATAACGTGGTACAGCAACTTAACTGTGTAAGTTTTTACTCACAAGGTAGTATGTGCTTTACGCAACAGGGTTCCAGAGTTTTTGCAAAAGGATGAGCAATCTATCAAGATCTTCACATGATACTTCTGTCCCCTAGCCAGAGGTCCAGATGGCACAGAAGCCCCTGTACCAGCATGGCGTGTATAAACTCTGACCTGATAAAAAAAAATTATAATTTAGCAACTCAAATGTGAATGCGTTTTTTTTTTTTTTTTCTTTTCCTTTAAACTGTCTTGATTTCATGAAATAGGGGCTTAAAATAGCTATTGAATAACCATTATTCCAAATTAAACCTTAGGATGCAATTCCAACTATATTGAATGAAGATGTTGCCACTCAATGAGAAACAAGATGTCACCTGTTCACTATGTCTATGTCCAGTAGTCTCTGCCATAGGCAAAAAGTTGTTTAATTTAGTTTGAATGTACTGAAATGTGTAAACAGTTCTCTATCATTTAGGGTGTTTTTCCATTCATTGCTAGTGATTGATAACTAAGGGTTGTGATGCTCATAAATACGGAGTTGAGGTTTTTGTCTGAGGATGCTGCAGTTACGTGCCATGAGGCAGGGTAATTCATTATCAATTGCTTTAGGTACTCGGCTACCCCATGCTGAACAGGCTGTTGCCAGTGTTCTTTTGCTTGTTCTTTGTCACCTTCCGCAGGTTGCGGTATTTTTTAATAGAAAGGTTCACGCAGTGCCCTTGGCCGTGTAAATTCTGGTTGACCACCACACTGGTAGTATCTGTTAATCCACCCATGGTATTCCAGCTGTATTATTTTCCTTCCCATTTCCTATTTACAACAACACAACCAGACAAGGCAAATTCAGTTACTGAGCTGGATAAAAGAATATGAAATAGTTTAGTAATTCCATTTGGTTTTGGATAGGAAATGATAAACCAAAAGGTATTTTTAGAAGTGATGCAACAGTTAGGATCTCTTCTAGAGTATAGCAAAGACTGCTCAGGAATTACAAATGTTTCAAGAATTTCTATATTCTTTCAAATATCTTTATGTAGGGAAAAGAAAAGGAACTCTGTTAACCTCATGCTGCTTCTTTTTTTACAGTTGGGCTCTTGCCAAAGTAACGAGCAGCCAGCAAAACATAATCAGCTGCATGTTAGACCCCAGCTAGAATTGGTCAATTGACCCCACCTTTGCTACTTTACAACTTGCACTGAATTTAGTATTTAACTCTTTTGCTGTACATCTGGTACTTAACGATACAGCATCTGTTGCAATGCTCTGAATTCACCTGGTACGGCTGTTACTGGACTACTGGGAAGATGGGTGTTAATCACTTCACGCGAGTATTTTACTTCAATCTGCCTCCATTAGGCTTCTATGAAAACTTGTATTGGCAATGCTAACCACTAGCTGGCTGGTAAAGAAGTTACGCGCCAGCAAACCTTGTTCAAAATCTAATTGGGTATGTTAAAGACAGGCACTGTAATAATTCTCCTCAGGGATCAAATGGTTTGGGGATTATCAGGTGCATTAATGATGCGAATTCCCTGCCAAGCCAAGTTCTGGTGAGCTCCCATGTTTCTCACAGCGAGCAAACGAAGACAATGAAGCCAGAGGCATTATTGTCAGAGTCACGTAAACTAACATCAAAGCTATCTAGGAAAAACTTCAAAATTGCCCAAGTGCTGCTTCTTTCTTTTTTTTTTATAAAAAAAGATGTAAGCTAATACCAGCTGGGCTAATTACGCGTGTGGTCCTGAGCCAGGCTGTAGGTGAGGAGAGCAGCAGGAGGTGTCCCGGCAGGGCTGGTGACCCGAAGACATGCCGGCCCTCTGACCGCAGGCCCAGCCGCAGGGCACCCTGCAGAAAGCAACACTCTCTTTATCGCACTTTGTTTTATCACCGCTGACCCGGGAAGCGCATTTTAGGGGAGACCCACGGGTGGGGAAGCACATTTTCAGATAAAAACCTTGCCAAAAGAATCGGTGTATGTGTTTTAGTGCTGTTACCTATAAACCCAGAGCTACCTGTGTTTACCCGTGCTAACGAATTTAGCGTAGGCCCGTATGCCGCAGGCACGCACACGGTGTGCGCTATCCCTCTATCACGGGCGCTAACCCAGCAGTTCCCGAGCAGGAGGCGCTCCCGGCGCGGCCTGGCTGCAGGGGAAGCCGGGCGGGGATCAGGGCCGGGCCGGCTCGGCTTTAAACACCCGCCCGGCGCGGGGCCTTCCCGTCCCTCCCGGGGTCGGCCGCGGCTCCCC